ACCATAAAGGACGCAAGAGAAAATATAAAGCGAAAACCAGCAACTTTCCCAAAAATAGTGTTCGACGATTTGACGGAAGGACCCAGTAAGAAAACGCCTCCAATCAGGAAGGTAAATTCAACAACATCCACTCAAACAACAACAGTGCCAGTCAATGCAATCATCCAAACGGACCTTTCAATAGAAACAAAGGAGACATATGAATACTGCGTAAACCGCGTGGACCCTAACATCATGATACAGGAAGAAACACAACCGAACAATGAGCCAACCACTATGTCAACAACTCAATTGGAGGCCAGCCACGCACTCATTGTAAACGAAATTGTCGCCGCATGTGACAGTGAGACTAACACAGAAGAAGAGGATACACCTCTATATAAGAAAAATCTGCAAAAAGTCCTGGGGGTGAACTTCATTGCCGCAGTAACCCGAAAATATAAAAATCTAAGACCACTTGTCAACTTTGTAAGAAAACGGGACTGAGACGCTCTAAAGTTTTTTGGCCAGTCTTTTGGCCAGTACTGGTACAAAATACGGAACCGATTGAACGTGAAGGATGATTGTCTACTCATCGACGAACGCATAGTTCTGCCAACACAACTTAGACAAACAGCACTGGACAGTCTGCATCTCACTCAACCCGGATCTGCGGCCATGCTGGATTTTTGCCAAAACATTCGGTTCCCTCATATACACAGGAAATAGTACAAATGGCTCAAAGATGTCGAGAATGTACACAACAAGGTAAAAACTTAAAACCAATTATTGGTAAACAACATTCATTCCAAATGGAACCACTAGTTAAACCAAATGATAAGGTCCAACTGGGTTTTGCGGGACCGCTCTCTGACGAGGTAAATAAAGACGCGTACATTTTAGTGTCAGTAGAAAAACGGTCACCATTTCCAACGGCTAAGTAGTTTCAAACACAACAGCAGACGTTGCATTAAAACTTAAGCAACGATACATTTAAAATAATGGGGTAACCCGCCGCTTAAACTGTGATCAAGCTCAAACGTTTCGCGCTAAAAGATTTCATTTATTCTGCAAATCAAGTAACATAAAACTCCTATTCGCCCCGGTGGATAATCAAAGATCTATAGGTGTCGTGGAATGATTAATACAAGCACTGAAAAGGCAACTCGGGGTCATGAAAATTGATCCAAATATTACATCATTCAAAATTGCATCGAGCGTGGCAGAAATAATTAAAACGTTACGAATAACTCCACAAGGAGTGACAAAAACCACACCTTTTGAAGCGCATATGGGCAGAAAAGCTAACACACCACTGTCAAACATAACAACAAATAGTTCATCATATAATTTAAATTGGGAGAACGCTAAACACGCTTGTTTAGATATGAAAAACCTGATACACTCGCAAATCCCAGCGGAAATAATGCACGATCTGCAGAGGTGATGCGACGATGAATTGAGCATCAAACGCAGGATACATGAGCCCATTGCTGCCGCATTAATTTTCACTGAGGCAGCGATGACCGCTCTGAGGCAGCGATTTTCACTGAGGCAGCGATGTACATTAATTTTCACTGAGTACGATCTGAATAAAAGCAAAAAGCTGTTGTCAAAACCGATTAAAGAGAGTTTTGTAAGGAGGATGGCATGCGACACTGAGTCAAATGCTTTCTTAAAGTCGAGATTTAACACCAGTTGCTCCACATTGTCGTCGAAGTTCGAATAGACTTTATCAAAAAAAGTCAGGGTTTGCGTGATACAAAAATGACCTTAGCGAAAGCCATGTTGCTTGCTGTTAAGTTCAAGGCTTACTTGATCATAGATAAAATTAAATAAAAATCTTTCAAAAATTAATGACAACCGTGGTAAATTCGAGATTGGGAGAAAAATTAACGACAACCGTGGTAAAGTCGAGATTGGCAAGTTGTGTGCTCCTCTTTATGAATTGGAGATATATGTGCAGTTTTTCAAAAATTGGGCCGAGAACAAGAATCAAGGATTCCTCTAAATAAAAGATAGACGAATGGGACCGTGTAAACTGAGTTGCGGTTGAAGACAAAACTTGGAATTTTACCACAGACACTGAAACCTTTATTAGGAACTGCGGCAAGATACTTTGTTATAATCTCAACGTTAACGTCAATTTTTTAAGAAAAATTTTGGGCGAATCAGTTGGTTGATCAATTTGACTTTCTCAAAATCATTACTAGCGTTATTGTCATCCCAATATATAATTGAGGGAAACGTTTTTGCACTGTTCAAGTTTTTAAATAATGGAAAAGCTTCCTTGGTTGTCAAAAAAACCAGTTTTCTGAAGAAGCACTGTTTCATCTAATTCTAAAAAACTTTTTACATTGGCGCTAGAAAAGGAAAGATTAAACTTAAGGTATAAAAGGATACACCATCAAACTGACTAAATAATAAAAAAGAAAATCGAACAAGTAGCAAGAAAGAACTAGATTGGCTATGAAAAAAAATCCAAAAACATTTGAACAAAAATGCAAAACTATCGATAGGAGAATTCTAACTTACAAACCACATACGGCGTGGGTCCAAACAAAAGGAAAACAACCACGGTTACTAAGAAACAGTGGTTTTGCATTCGTACCTAACCCTCTAATACATGTTCTATGTGGCCTCTCAACACCCAGCGACTATGTGGCATATAAATCCGCTCGGAGAACAGGACCTTGTTTACGTTTTTTAGATATAGAAAACCCGAGTGCACCACGACACCCAATGTTTAAAGAGGACGCAACAAAACAGCCATCGAAGTGGAAGGCAACCGGAAAAAAGAACTGGGGGACGACCGGCACCAAGAACGCCAACAAGAGGAATGGAATTCCAGTCGGATCAACGACGTGAAAAAGAGAGTGCTGCCACATCAGGATCATCAACTTTTTCGGGATCGTCCACGTCGGAAAATCTAGCGCCGTCACCCAAAAGAATTATTATAAAGGCAACACCAAAGGCAAAACAAAAGCAACAATTGACAAAGCAACAACCGACACGTAAATCAAACCGAGCCAGACAGTCAACTCTTGCCAGCGCATTGGGAAATTCAATTCCCATAAATGCAGTAGAGGACACACTGCAAACGACAACAAAGAAATTTGCTATTGATTCATCCACTGATATACTTAGTTACAAGCAGTCCTGAATCAAAGACCCCGGATCAAAAGCCAAGTCTGAAAAGTCTGATTTCAGAAATGGGCTTCCACGAGAAGTCCCCCGAATACCAGGCCTGCATAAAATTCTTGGTTGCAATACGTCCAAAAGGTCACACAATTACCGCACACATAGTAGATCTAGTATCCCCTGCGGAAAGCCCAGAAAAAATTTTTACGGACTTAGAAGTATTATCGGTCATGAATGTGCAAAACATGGAAGAAGGAAATGATTTCGAAGAGCATCAAGAGAGAGGAATTAAAGAGGACCCGATGGCATCGAAGGATTGAACAACACATAAACTCAGTTCCGTCTCACGGGGACGTAAGAACTCAGGTCCTAAGGGGACGTTAAGCTCTAATTTTTGTTATTTATCTGATATTTTTCGCGAGGGGGAATGTCATCCGGCCGGATTGGCAATGTACTATTTATATATATTTGTTAGGCTCACTGCGTTGAGCTGGTCAAGTGACCTTGAAGGCAAAGCTAACAAAGAGCTTAGTGTATGTCAGCAAAACTTAAATAAAGAGTTTATGAATCAGTCGTCTTAATTATGCTCCTAGCCTCCTTCCTAGTTAGCTCGCCAATCCGTTCGGATTCAGTATTAACATTGCGCATACCTAAGGGTATGACACCCACTTTGAATCAAACGATGTTTATTTTCGCTTCCTCACTCTGGACCCTAAATTTTTAAAAGATTCTGATTGACAACATGGGTAGTTGTCACTCTCTATCAGAAGCAATTGTTTGATGGTCAGCATCATGTTATGGAAAATGTTTCTTGAGTATCTGCCTAGCTTTTGTTAGCTCTAATGTGAATGCCTGCCTAGAATCACTTAACGATGATATATGATGTTTTTGTCTTTGAAAATAAGTATTTGATACAGGCAATCGGAAGAAGCATTCCGCTACGTTTGCTGAGGGGGTGCCGAGCTTCAATATCAGCAGGAACATTTTTGTCATCATGCATGAGCGGGACGAACTCACAGAAACTTAACAAAAAATTATCGAGGTTTAATTCTGCTGTTCAGTTATAGTGCAGTCTTTCTAGCTTATGGTTCCTTTTGTGATATTTCATAGCTCTAGGTCGGTCACTTCATTTTTCGATACCACTATTTCATCAATCACTTTGTTTTATGATTCGTTTCTTTCTTCAGATATAATCGAAGATAACTTTCACAAAAAAACATCGTTCATCAATTGATCAGCATTGGCGCAATCAGTTTTTTTGAACAATTCCTTGATCTTCGTTTCGCAGGCGCGGATTTAGGAATTTCTCGAGGGGGGCGGATTTTTAATAAAAAATTGAAAATTTTGTCGATTTTTTTTTAGGTCGACCAAATTGATTTTCTGAGCTCTCTCAAAACACTATAAAGACCCTAACTTGACCAAATTTTGTACGCCGCAGGCAAATTTTTGATCAAAAGGCTTTAAAAAATGCGTTTTTAGCACTTTTTAAAAATTTTTGACCAAAAATTTGCGTTTGTTCGGCGCGCGCTCCCCCCTCAAAATTACTATTTATTAGTATTATAACCAGCACTTAGAAATCGGCAACTAGATCTTTGGACGTAGAACGAATCACTGTTTGAAATGCAAGCTAAGTTTCTCTATTGTAATTTGAAAGAAACCTCCGACAGGAAATAGTGTCTTCGGAGGCTTCAAAACAATTGCACACTAACGGAACCACTTGCACTGAGTAAACGCATATTACAAACCTAAGGCTCTTTTCTGGGCAAATGGCTCTGCGCATTTTGTAACATGTGACTGTACTCGGAATAAAAGACATTGAATGACATAGGTATCGTGTTATTTGGAGCGGTAGTTGCCAAATTCATTCAAAGGAAGTGTAGTCTAGTGCCAGTGTTTCCTTTGGATCTGTGGTTCCGGTGGTCTCTCTTTCCTCTCTTGGCCAGAATAAATGGCATTATATATTAGTATTGCACATATGAAGTGTGTTGTATTGATACAAGGCAGTCTGCAATAATACTCATGGTGTCTAATCAATCCACCAAAAGTGCACTTTGAAACTGCCATCAAAGAAGCCTTCAAATGAAATAATAATCCACTTTCATCCCCCCATAATCCCCAAATCCCCCCTCTCTCTCTTTCTTTCTCTTTCTCCTTCTCCTTTTCCATTCTGCTTCATGCCTCTTTTTATTCTATTCTATTCATCTTTTCAATCCAGATCGACCGGTTGGCAGAGTTGCTTTTAAACTAATTTAGAGATTGATTCTTACTTGTATTTTTAGACTCATATTTGACTTTTTTGCTCAATACTACCATTTACGGCTGAGGGATTATTTGCACGGTAAACAACACATATCTCGCTAGTTCGACTATTGATTTTATCGATTACTCGTTGTTGTTTTCCCGGCAGTGAACAACTTTATTCAAATCCCAATTTCAACTTTTTTCCGGATTTTCATTGATTCCGGGAAGATAAATAGTCTATGTTACTACATATAATCAACAGCACTCGGAATCTTTTGAAACAGATCCCCTGATCTTGTTGATACAGAGGTACCATTTTTGTTTCAGCCTTTTAACCACAACAATCGACCCACAATCGATTTTGATATTCTGCTCTCATTATCAAAGTACCGAGAAAATTGGAACTGGGTCTAGACATACTCTGTTTTTATACACAACCAAGAGCAAGCTAATACCTCTGGCTTCACCATGCATTTTGAAATAAAACTTTGTTGATGAATGGCTAGGCGGTGGTAAAAAGTCTTTACTTTTTCTGAACTATTTTGGTGACATTATTGGTTGGCAGCTGTTAGTTTTCAATCTTGTACAATCTATAACTGGGATAACGATGACGATGTGTTGTTCTGTGAGAACACTTGTGCTGTGTGCTGTTACTCTGTGCTACCTGTGGGGGTGTGGCTTATGGGTGGAGTGCTGGCAGACAGGAGCAGGGGGTGAGGTGGAGGTGGTGAGGGTGGGGATCATTCTGGAAGACAGGGAGATAGATCAGCAGCTGGTAGAGCACGAACTCCAAACTCTGTCCCAATCCCTCCCCCACAACATCAAAATAGAGCCCAGGTAGGAACATACGAAGAACACTAGAACTATTTAAAGGTCTTCACGTCCCAGTTGATGTGGCGTGCCTAATAATTACAGGCCACTCACATCAAGGGCACTTACCATCGTGGTAAGGCGTTCACCTAGAGATCGTCAGATCTTGTATTTGATTCCATGCCATGACAATTATAGTGTGTGAAGGTGAACCCTCACTTGACCTCTAGCTTCAGGCTTACCACAGTTTGATCGATTTCGATTGCAATAGTGGTACCACGTGAAAACACTAGTCGCAAAAAGTGACCTTGAGTCGCAAAAAAGAGATCGCTCAACCAAATTACACAGTCTGGAATGTGGGGAGATAGTTGGGAGATAAAATTATTGGCAATATCGGTGACCTTGAGCAGCTTAATCGGTCAAAGATTATACAATTTTAGGATGATAAACTTTTTGGACATGGTTTTTACGTGTGGAAATTAGTAGAACACAGAAATCTAACGTCAAATTGAGCAGTTTTAGGTTAATTAACTTCGTTCAGATTCGTTAACCGAAAATATATTGCCAACAATTTCAACAGGCCTGTTGAGGGTTACTGATAGCTCTTCTGCGATTCGCAGTAACAAAAAAAATTACGTTTGACGGTGAATCAAATTCCACTGATCTCTTACAGCTGAATCAAAAAATGAGTCGTAAGTTTCAAAACGCCGAAATTCCACAAGAAACGAATTTTACCCGAACACAGTGGACACCAAAATCAGTCATAATCATTCCAGATAAAATCATCCCCTGCCGAACCACAGGGTCTCGCTTTGTACTAATTTGAGATATCCAATTTTGGCTGACCGAACTTGATTTTTTTTCGGCGTCACTATATACTTCGGCGCCAATAATAACTTATTTTGAAGGGAAAGCTAGCGCCAAAAAACGGAATTAATTAGTCAAAACATTCCCAAAAGTGCCTAAAAACACCTTTGTTGCTAGTATTTCAGAATTTTGCCTACATCGCAGATAATGTGGCCAAACCAGGGTCTTTTTACTGCTTTACGAATGGTCGGAAAATCAATTTAGTCAACTCAAGAAAAATGTCACTAAAACTTTCGAAAACTTTTTGAAAATCCGCCCCCCTCGAGAAAAACTGCTCCACTCTAGATCCGCCCCTTATCTCAGGCATACTTTTTCAAACTAAAACGAAATATATCAAAGACAATGCAACCTAAATAAATCTGGAAGCAGAATAAAACAAAAAAATTCGACTCGCAAATTGTATAAGGTTTGATTTTTGTTTCAAGTATGACTTCCTTTCGGCACAAAAATCATTTTTGAAGCTATTATTTCATATCAAAGCGAAACTGCTAGTATCAAGGCGAAGACTTGAATATTCCGACTGCCGTTTGATTGCTCTCGGATAGTTTTGGTAAATCAAATATGGGCAAAACAATGAATTCTAGGCTGATAATATCAAAAAATAAGTGTTGCAAATGAGTCGTGTATAATTAACTGAAACAGGCCAAACAAAAGCATTTTTAAGCGCTTTTTGGAAAATGTTGACCAAAAATTAGCGTTTTTTGGCGCGCACTCCTCTCTCAAAATTAGTATATATCGGCGCCGAAGGCAACTTAAAAAAATTTTCGGGTCCGTCACAAAATATGTATATCTCAAAATAGTACAAAGGGGGGACACTTTGGGTCGGGAGGGGGTCGAATCCCTGAAAAAGGCGTCCGCCCCCAAGTTTTTTCGACTAATGCAATATATATATTTGAGTTTAGGGCGTTTCCTTATTTGAAATCGTATCCAAAAGTATCCTAAATTTTATCCGAAATGACATCCAAGTTTAGTTCTCAGAAAATTCCAGAGGGATGAGATTAATGAGTGAATCCAAGTTTGCTTAGAGCTGCCCCTGAAATCATAAAAAAGTGTGTGAATCTGAATTTTGAGTCACAATAACACGCGCTTTTTGCCAAAGTATCACGCTTTTTTGGCGGATTTCGAATACCATCATGATCCGAAAAAGAACGTTGTGCGTATTTCCAATTATTGGTTGCGCTGTAATGTAATTACTCAGTGATCATTATTTAAACGCGGTAAAACAGATTGAGAAAATGAATGTAACTTAACTGAGGACCTTCAGCATTAATTCCCAACCGTAGTTTAATAAATCTCAATGAAAGAACATTTTTAATGAAAAAATATGCACAAGGACAAAATCCATTTGCAGTTGCAAATTTTTATATTACATTTTTAGGCTTACAAAAGATACTCCGAACGCTGCCACCAAAATGCGGACAACATCAAGATAAAGCAATCTTGAGTTATATGTCAGTTATCGCTCTTTCATTTTCTTTTGTCCTTTATCTTGTTTCGAAGAAACGTGCGATTGATTTTAAACAAATTGCACAGTAATCGTAAAAAAGGTGAAAGTTTTTTTGCCATTCGAAATTTTTTGTCATAATTCATACCAAGATGACAATACGTTATTGTTCCGACTTTCGATACGAAAGTATCGGAATATTTGTGCTCGGGGTGGGTTTTTTTTCTTCAGACAAATTTCGACTTTTTAACTAGCCATTTTTGACGGAATTTTTTATATCATTCGAAAGGTATTGTTGTCAAGAGCTCAAATTTGAAAAGACATTTCACCTGTGATTATTTTTCGTAAAGTTATGGGGGTTTAAAGATTGCCATTTTGACCAAGTTGGGGCAAATAACGGGCGATATATTTCGCGCTATTAACGCGTAAGCGGAGAGTTAATCAGTCTTAGAAATCGTTCAAAATTGGTTGAAAGAAGCTTATTTGCCATAACTGATTTGTTACAAGGAGCGAAATCTATATTTTGGTACTGTATATGGCGTGTGGGGGGATGATATTCATATAAAATTTCATATTTTAGGAAAAAAAAATTTCTTCTTGTCTTATTACATTTAATTTTTTAATGTTATTACTGCTCCATAAACCTTAATAGGCAGTCGGAACATTCAGAACTTCGCCCTGATACGAGCAGTCTTGTTAGTTATTTCATTTTGACCTGAAGAGCGCGCTTATTTGTTTGCTAGTAGAACCTGAACCCCTTTGGTTATACTGTTAAACAGAAGTAGGGTAATAATCAATTCCACTCACACGCCCAAGAATTATGCCATAGTTTTTCAGATAAATGTATTCAAATTAAGTCGAATAATTTGGGTAATTATTTGAACTGAGGAACCTAGCAATCAGTGGAGAAAGTCGAAAAAAAGTCAAATTTCGCAGAAATTTTGTTTGAATTGTTTTTTGAAAAGTGATCATTCATTCAGACAAGATCATTCAAACTTAACTTAAATTTTCTATGTATATGATCTAGTTGACTGCTTGTATCAAGGCACAGCCCTGCCTTTCCGACTTTGTTTTAGTTTCCACGGAATAATTTGAAATAAAATAATTGATGAAATTCTCGAAAGAAAACTGAAAAAGTTTTCAGTTAATGGTTTTGATGGTTTTCTGAAAATGATCTCCCAACACGCTTTGTAAAATACAAATTGAGATATTTTCTATGAAGCAAAGTGTTAAATAGACCAACCAACGAGCATGCCTCAATTCAATTTGGAACGATTTCTATGACAGATTAAATCTCCGCTGACGCGTAAATAGCACAAAATATGTCGCGCATTAATTGTCCCACACAGCCCAAAATGGCGGTCTTTAGAGCCCCATAACTTCACCAAAAACGATTGCAGGTGATGTACTTTTTGTTCCAACTTTTGTAACGAAAGTAACGGAATATTTGTGCTCGAGGTGGGTTTTTTTTCTTCAGACAATATTCGACTTTTTAACTAGCCATTTTCGACAAAACTTTTTCATATCATTCAAAAAGTATTGTTGTCCTGAGCCTAAATTTAAAAAAACATTTCCCCTGTGACCATTTTTGTAAAGTTATGGGGGTTTAAATGTTGCTATTCTGGCCAATTTGCGCGATATTTTTCGCGTTATTAACGCGTAAGCGGAGATTTATTCCATCTTAGAAATCGTTCCAAATTGGTTAAAGGGAGCTGATTTGACCTAATTGATTTGTTACTAGGAGCGAAATCTATCACTTCGTACTATATATGGCGTGTGAGGGGATGATTTTCGCAAATATCTCAAATTTAAAAAAAAAAATTTCTTACACATATTTTTTCATGTTGTTAATGCTCCATAGACCTTATAAGTCAGTCGGAAAGTTATGGGCTTCGCCCTGATACAAGCAGTCTTATTTAAGTATGAGCTCAGAGCAAAAGTGCATTTCAAAAGATAGAAAAATATTTTCGTCGAAACAGGATAGTGAGAAAGTCGAAATTCGGAACAAAACTCAGTCCGAGCACAGATTCTCCGTCACTTTCTTCAAAAATTGGAACAAAGTCAATCCGTTTGAATTAAGCTGGATCAATCAAGCTTGTTGATAAACTGACTCGATAAATTTTTTGATTAAAATATTTTGAATAATTAAGAACTGAGCAAACAACACAAAAAAAATTCACCATAATAGCACTGCAAAAAGTAAGAAAAAGGACAAAGTTTTAGAAAAAAAACGAAAAAAAAAAAATTAATATTTTTTGGTTAATTTCTCCTGCTAGTTGTGTGCCACGAATGCATCGATTTGCTCTGATCGGTGCAAACAACATGAATGCACTGATCAGAGCAAGCCTCTAACTATTGTGGCTGCTCAATTAGAAATCAAAATTTACAAAAAAAATGAAAAGGTGAATACCCGATTTTCGAAATATAGAAGAAAAATAATTGTTAATGAGACTGGTGAGCGTGTTTAAACAGCTCAAGATTTCTGAGTCTGAATTTTTCGCATCAAACGCTACGCGCTCAAAACGAAACAGTAAAAACCAAGCTCACCAAGGTATCAAAATGATCAAATTGCCAATTCCAAGACCCAAATATATCACAAAGCAACAGATGGTGAAACATTCTTGAATAATCTTTTTTTTCCAGGGCATTGATATTTTGCAGATTAAAAAAAATTTCTGAAAGTTTTTTGCTTAAATAATTGTTATCAGGCTTAAGA